GAAATGTCTAGTCAAGAAGCTGCGTGGTTTTTATTACGAGAACCCATGTCCAAAGCGTCGGTAGCTGTTCAATATATACCTACTTATTGGCCACAACACCGAGAGCGAATTAGGAAAACTCTAAAGGAATTAGCACAACTTGATGATGACGACACACGCATTTGGAAGGAATTGGTTTGACAAATACGAAAAAAGACCAGTTGAACTTGATCACGTTACTCTAGCCCAGTTTGTTTCCCGGTATAATGTTACTGCTAAAGGCATTGTAAAACTACGGAAGTTTCCAAAAATTTTAAGATATAGAAATTATGACATGGGGAAGGAATTGTCGGAATACAAAAGAGAAATGGTTACTCTGCATATTCCGTTTAGGATTGAAGAAACTGATATTCTAGCAGATATTAGATTTTTACGCATATTTGAAGAAAATCAAGCCGTCGTAATGAAAAGAAGACAAGAATTTGAATCTAATTTAGACATTGCCAAAACCATAGAAATTTGCTCTCGGTTATGTCGGGAAGAAATTGAGCTCAATGATTCACAGGATCATCGGAATCAAGTTTATGTCGAAGAAGATCCGTATCAACTTCTTCTTCAAGATCCTCATTCAAGAGTTAATAATGACGTGGTATCAGCGACGATGAATAAGCTCGGTGCGATATGGAAAAATAAAGAAAATTTGATCTCATTGATCTCAGATTGAAAGAAATAACTGGTAATTTTGATGTTGCTTTTGGTGGATTACACATAATTTTTATCGGTGATTTGAGACAACTGCCCCCTGTAAGAGCTACTCCTATTTGGGAACAAAAAGTTCAACGAATTGATGGTCGGCAATTATGGAGAGGAATCACTTTTTTGGAATTGATCGAAGTTATGCGACAAGAAAACTCTGAATTTTCATCACTATTGACAAATGTCGGTAATGGAGATCAATTAAATACACAACAGTTGGCTATGATTGAGTCAAAGTTTTGTTCAGAAGCAGAAGCAGAAGAACGCTGTCCTGATGGAATCCGTTTATTTAATGACAATCACTCAGTTGACACGTATAATTTAAAAATGTTGAGTTCATCTGATGAAATGGCCAATTCAATTGCTGATGACGAAATAATTGGATGTGATGGAAATCACGAAAAAGAAAGAGCTGCTAGAAACAAGCTTCATAAGTTTGCTACAATCGACACAGGAGGATTGCCCTACGAAATTACTTTAGTTGTAGATAAGCCATATATGATAACAACCAACATCGACGTCGCTGATGGCTTGGCCAATGGAGCGGTCGGTAAACTTTCGTATGTTGAGTTGGATCCTCAAAATAAAGTACTGCGAGTTTGGCTTCTATTTCCAAAAAAGGACTCAGTAGAGAATTCGTTCCTATTAACTGTAGATCTGCAACGGTGCCTCTCAATCGAAATAAATCTATTCATGCCAAAAGAAATCATTTCCCACTCAAACCGGCTTGCGCGTTGACCATTCACAAATCACAAGGAGGAACATTTGATGAAATTGTATACAAATACCAGAAGACACATTCGCAATCTTTGGTCTACGTAGCCTTATCCAGGGTCACGTCACAAGAAGGCCTTCACATTGTTCCTGCTAATAACTTTCAACGTTTCTATCATGGTAGAAGATGTAACGCAGCAATGGCCCCTTTACGCCAAAAATTTATGAGGCTTTCCACTGCTCAACTCACAACAGTTGATCAGGTTATACTTAATAAAATAAATGAAGGAAACATGATTCTCTTCTTGCTCAATTGTCAAAGTCTCCGAGCACATGCACGTGATCTCCGTGGTAACATTATACAAAAAGCAGATATTTTAATATTATCAGAAACATGGCTTCGCAACGAGGAATCCGTTGAAATTGAAAATTTCAGATGTATATCCCAATATCGACGTCCTGACATTAATCGAGGAGGCGGGGTCAGTATTTATCACAATCTTAATGATTTACACCATGTGCTTACTGGCAATAATGATACTTTCGTAAGGAATGTCCAGCACAACAGTCAAACACAGTCTCCATTGGGAGATATATCTGCTGCGAGATGTACTTTGCCTAACGGTAATCACATTGTTATAGTTTCGATTTACATTTCTGTTAATCAAAAGATTAATGATGTAATAGATTTCATTCATGAGGCATTATTGTCTTATACAGAAGGTGGATCGAAACTACTTAGGAAAGAATACCATTTACTGCCGCTCGTACTAAGTGGCGATTTTAATGTCGATCTTAGCAAAGATGACGGATTGACATTAATACAATTTTTAAAATCTGAATTGAATTTAGATATTGTTTCTGATAGAACAATGGGGACAACGAGGTATGGTACAACCATTGATGCGGTATTTTCAAGATTCGTGAACCACGTATCTACCAACGTCCATATATCTTATTTTAGTTACCATAAACCACTTGTCACGGTTATTAATAATGAAGGCAATGTTGATTAAATTAATATTTAAAAAAAAATCACAATAGTCAGAGTAATAATTACCTAATTTAACAACATTCCTAATTAAATAATTGTGCACATCTGAAATTTACTATTGTAAAAAGTTTAATGTAAAATATTTCGCCGATTAATTATAAAAAAATAAAATGAATAAATTTATATTTATATATGAATATTATTTTCTTCATTAATTTGTAAATTTACCCTTTCATATGATATTAATCTTTTTTCAGTTGAATAAACTTTTTTTGCGTATGGTTAGATACTCGTACTTGAGGAGTAAACTCCAGTCGTGCGTCGGAGCTGACATACACACAGTTTTTTTTTTGTATTTTGTAACCTATGTTTACTTTTTCAACTGTTACCGAATTTTACATATTGTACTTGCAGCGTACATTTGGCGAGACATAAAAGTTCTTTACAAAATGTCTACGAAAATTTTAATTTTTTTTTACAATTTATCTGAAATAGATACGTATCAAAAAAAAAAGATCTTATACTATGTTCACACCGAATTGAAATCCTCTTGAAAACACAATTTGTGGATTGTGGAACCAAAGTCGTTCTGACCGACATTGTGTGTTTTCGATGAGTTTTCATTGACAGTTCACACTTCTATTTGTTTACATTTATTATGTACCCTACAAGAACAGTGACGGTTATCTGATGTATAATATGACAGTCATAGCTGAAAAAATTTTGTCATGGCGCAGAACAAAGTTTCTATCATTGTCTTAATAGCCTTGTGCAAAAACTGATGTAAACAAACGTATGTGAGTGAGTTTGCATCTCTCTTTAACCATAAATCCGTCATAGCTGAAAATTGTCACATGTGTACCAAGTTTCCTGAATATATCTCAATTTTTACTCAAGTTACAGCTTGCACGGACGGACAGACAGTCACCCGGATTTCAACTCGTCCCTTCATCCTGATCATTTATATATTATATATATAACCCTATATCTAACTCGATTAGTTTTAGGGGATACAAACAACCGTTAGGTGAACAAAACTATTATACTGTAGCAACAGGTTGCGAGAGTATAAAAATGTAAAACAATGAAATGTATTTTATGAAATGTTTTGTAATGTTGCATCATAGAATTAATATTCCTTTTAAAATGATTAAAAATAATTAATAATTGAGAGCTAATAAGCTTAAATAATTTTATTAGGAATTGAAAGTTCAAAAGTCAGTTGTTTTAATATACCATAAAATCATACGATTTTAAATAGTTTCTCCATATATTAAACCTCTAATATATACTAATTTCTAATCGTAATAAATCTTTGGTGTTTTAATTTAAATGCCCAAAGTTATTTTTTTTTTCGACGTGGCTACAATGGAAAATGTTATAAAAACGCTAATTTTGAGGCGCCCTCACACCGGAATAAATTGGACATCTCTTCTTTATAAACAGACTTAGTGATCAGAACTGACTGGAGTTGCCCTCGGGAGTTACCAAAAAAGAAAGGAAATGAACAAGAATAATATTAAATGTTATACACCATTGAAAGTGGAAAGCGTGGATGCTGCTAATATTTTTACTTGTTTAAACACATACATACATACCGTAATTAATAATTATGTTTTCAATAAGTTAGAAAAAAGTAGATTTTACCGTATAATGTAATCGGTCATTCATCCAGGGTTATCAATCAAATTTGTTAGGATTACTGAAAAAACATACAGATATGTATGTATATCAGATGCTATCAAGCGACCAAGATTTTAATAAGGGTTTTTTTTTTATTAAACGAAGCGAGCGGATTTTTATTTAACACACCTCGCTAGATGTTTAGCCAAGCACTTTGATGGGTATGTACAACGTTTGTCATTTTCCTTTAAAAGTCCTCAAATTGTTGCATATTAAATGGTCATTATGATTGATTATTTGTATAATTTAAAAATCGAAATTCAAAAGGTATAGGTACAAATTGTTTTGCCGCCACAATTATATTTTTTTAATAAACAGTGAACACTTTTCAGAATTTTTTTCCGCTCTTTAATTATTCCAAAATAGGCGTTAACATGCAATTGAAGGATTTGTTTCAATCACGTACATATTTAATTTGAAAATAAGTATAGTTTCAAGATACTAAAAAATTTTCAAATGTTATACCTGCTATAAAACTCTACCCTACCATCTTGTGTTGAAATTTAATGCTTATGACGCATTTATATCGAGAGTTATTGCACTTTTTGTAGTTTTCAAAATAACCGTTATATGGGGAGACCTAGATCAATGTCGTTTTAGAACATTTTAACAAATTTATTCAGTTGTCTGAAGAAAATAATATTCTCATTGAAGATATTTTCGTTCTGTGTTAAAAGCCGAAAACGAAAAACAAACGTTTATTAATGAAGTATTTAAAAAGATATAATAATAGTATTTGCGTGCGTTTGATATGCTTGTAAATATAAAATATATACGATTTAATAAATCAAAATGGTTTCCAATTTTTCAATTTTACTACATTTTGTACTATATTTGCAAACATTGCTCGTTATATTGTATACTATTCACTTACAGTCTACGCTGACCTTAACGCGCTTGGACACTGTTGGAGGTATTCCGTTCGATGCTATACAGAGGTAGGCGCCCATGTCAAGCCGAGATATTCTTGTAATCTCCAGAGTATTACCTTCCCATTCGTTCACTGAAAAGATCAATCATTATCATTAAAAATTAGTGATAAAATAATTTACAATAGATGTAAGTAGTAAGGACCGAAATTCGAGCGGATATGCAGATGTATATACATATACAATCAAAACGAAGTAAAAAAAGTACAGTATTCGAGAAAGGTTAGGTCATTACAAAAATGCTTTCACAGATATCAGAATAGATAATAAAGATCTATTTTTTTATCCACTTTGTATCACGAAAAAAGGAAACAGACGGACGGCATCTGGTATCAGATACTTATATGAATATATATATGTATACAATGTTGGTAAGATATATGAATGTACATACCAATGTGATTTTTATTGATTGTGATTCTTGAATTGTCATCCCGCTTCCATTTAATAATCGGTCGTGGGCTACCACTGGCTCGGCAACGCAAAGATATATTAGAACCTTCACGTACAATAACATCACTGGAACTGAGTGCATCATCGATGTTGGGTGGTACTTTATTAAAAACAAAACAGATGAAATAAAATACAACAATGGTTAATTGTTTTGAAATTAGTATTTCAATTGATTATTTTGTTTATATTCATACTTTTATTTATCACATAAAATGTATGATAAGTATATATTTTTGGAACCTTGCGGCCAATTTCATACAGTGGCTACTTTTTTTGAATGGTACCAAGATTCGAAAACTTCTGTGGAACAGGGTTATGTTTGTATATATTTCAAAGTCAAATAATCAATCAATCTTTGTTTTATATTAGCCCACTTATATTGTGGTAACGTTTTGCACAGCATAAAGTATTTGTCACGATAACGATTGTTTGTAATTCCATAAATAATTCAGATATGAGCATGGATTGGTTATGCTAAGGCTGTATGAGTCCTTCAAGCAACAAATAACGGAACATAGATGGAGATCACGGAGAAATTTTATTTTATTTTTTCGATTCACACTCCCGTGAGTTTTTTCTTACCCTCTCAAATGCTTCTATTTGACTGTAAAAAAATTCTCATCAAACGTGAGCCCGATTGCCAAACTTATTGCTACAGAGTTTAATAGTTTGGTCACCTAACGGTTGTTTGTATCTTCCATCCGTCCGTCTGTGCACGTTGTAACTTAAGTAAAAATTGAGATATCTTAATTAAACTTGGTACACATGTTTCTTGGAACCATAACTAAGTTGGTAATGCAGATCAGCGGAATCAGACCATTGCTACCACCTCTATAAACAATTAATCGAAACCTATTAAGTATTATAACTAGGCTACACAATAGGATAAAAGACTGTTATTTATTACGAGGAATCGCACTAAGAAGAGATATATGTGGTTTTAACTACTAAAAGTGCGATAAATCAATAAATAAATTAATATAAATTAAATAAGAGCCGGTGTCAAAATTGGATAATGAATGTGGCACCGTCCACCTATGGGTGAAATCACATTTCTTTGGACCTATTCGACCAATTTCAACCAAATTCAATACATAACATGTCCTGACAATCCAATATTACCGTGTGAAAATGGGCGAAATCGAATCACCACGCCTACTTCTCATATAAAAATTTTAAACTCCATTTGATTCTTTCTCTTTCCAGTACACAAATCAAACACCAATGAATATATTCGGACAAACGTTTGCACAAATAGTGCGTTAAGGTGAGGCACCTTATGTCTTAAAATTTTAAAATCGGACTAGAACGGTTCAAGCATCATGATACCGAATTTGTGATGGTGATGTGAGGTACCTTGAAGGAACTCAATTGGCATCTCTTTCTGTTAATAATATGTGATAATGCCAAAATAGATAAAATCACGTCAATACTACCCCTTTATCTCATATACATACATACCTAATATAAGATATTCAAACTTTCGGTTGGATTTATAACGTTTATGCCAGGCAATATGTAAGATATCTTAAGAAAATTAACTGAACGTATAATATTGAATATACTATAGTTTAATAATATACGTAAAATTGATCTACGATTACTCCAACTCAACATATTAAATTTAGTCTATTCGGTTGAGTTTATATCACATATGTCTCATTTGAGGATGATTTTAATTTTAATTTTGACCCAAAATAAAGTATAGTAGTAAGACTAGTGAGTCTATGACCTTCAATAAGTTAATAATCCATTCAGGATTTCGTCGAACAGTTAATATTGAATCTTTCGCAACACTTTTTATACTCTTGCAACATGTTGCTACAGAGTTTATATAACTTTAAAATGGTCCAGTTAGATATAGGGTAATATATTTATATTATATATAAATGATCACGATGACGAGACGATTTGTAATCCGGGTGACTGCCTGTCACTGTAACTTGAGTAAAAATTAAGATTTCTTGGTACACATGTTCCTTGGCAAAAAAGTAATGACGAATTCGTAGATGTGCGTAATCGGACCAATGCCACGCCCACAAAACTCCATTAATCGAAAACGTATAAAGTGCCAAGCCGTTTATCAAGATACAGAACTCAAATTTGGCACAACGAATCACATTAAGAAGGGCTAATAAGGTAAATTTATCTTCCAAACTATTAGATATATTATGCACATTTGCACAGGATGCATTTTTGCAACCCTTCTTACGATAATGTGAAAAGAGGTGAAATCGGATGATAGTCCCGCCCACTCCCTATATAATGGATTTGTTAAATACTACTAAAAGTGTGATATATCAATAACTAAATGCGTCAGGGACATTAAATTTTACACCCACGGTGATACAAGAAGGCTTTATAGGAGCCGGCATCAAATTTGGACGATGGGCGTGGCACCGCCCATTTTTAGGTGAAATCACATATTTTCAAACCTGTCAGACCGATTTCAACCAAATTCGGTACATAACATTCTTCTAATGTTTTTATGTTACAGTGAGAAAATCGGACTACAACCAAACCTATTTATCATATAACCCAATTTTGAATTTCATCTGATTCTTTCACATTCCAGTCTACAAATAAAGCACCAATTAATAAAATGGGATAAAGCTTTGCACGAAATGTTCAAGCCCCTAGGTTGACTAGTTGACTTTTTACCGAAAATATCGGCCAATGTGTGAGATATATAATTAAAATTCGGAGGGAATGACTTCGTGATAATATTATGTCTAAAATGTCATTAATGGGTTGAATCGGGTCAATACTTCTCTTAGCCACCATATACCTAATATAAAGATTTAAAACTTCCAGGTGGCTTTATTTCGCATATATTGGCTAATATGTGAAAGTGAGAGATCGTGTTTTACTAAAAACAGTGTATCTTTGTGCTTAGAATAGATAGAGTCCCTCTATAACTAATAACAGAATTTTCGAACATTCGGCTGACATTACTCCATAAATGTAGATTGGCAAAAATAGATAATATCAATCCTACCGCCAAACTGCCATATTACATATAATGATTTTCATTTTTCTAACAAGTTTTACGGCGAATATGTCGTTCAGTGTTTAAGAAATATATTTAAAAAATTTATCAAATATACCTGAGCAATTTCGCAATTAATACAATCAGCCCGTCCCTTTCTATGCCACCAATATACCCCATATAATGACTTCTGTCTTTCCGACTGACTTTAAAACGTTCAGGTGACCAATAATGTAATATTTTAATGAAATTAAATAAAGAAGTTTTCTTTAAAATTATGTGGTTAAGCGCTGAATTAGAATATGATGGTCTAGACCTTGGTCTACACCTTATATCGCTAATATAATGAATTCCGATCCTCTAATTGACGTTTTCCGCATCAACTAAATATATATGTATTAAATTTAGCCTCTTCGGTTGACATACACCTTAGTTAAAGATGTTTTTAATACAATTTTAGCTGACGCGAACTAAAATATAGCAATAAAATAAATGTTTATGATCTTCAATATAAGTCAAGAAGATACCACATTTGAATGTAATTTATTCACGATTTCTTTGAATAATGAATGTTGAATTCTTGCGCCATATTTTTATACTCTCGCAACCTGTTGCTACAGAGTATAATAGTTTTGTTCACCTAACGGTTGTTTGTATCACCTAAAACTAATCGAGTTAGATATAGGGTTATGTATATATAAATGATCAGGATGAAGAGACGAGTTGAAATCTGGGTGACTGTCTGTCCGTCCGTCCGTCCGTGCAAGCTCTAACTTGAGTAAAAATTGAGATATCTTTATGAAACTTGGAAGACATGTTTCTGAATACCGTGAGACGGTTGGTATTGCAGATGGGCGTCGGACCACTGCGACGCCCACAAAACGCCAATATTCAAAAACAAATAAATTGTCATAACTAAGCTCCACAACAAGATGCAAGACTCTTATTTGGTATACAGGATCAAAATAGGGAGGGGCATCTTAAAATTGTTTTTTAAAGTGGGCGTGGGCCCGCCCCTAATAGGTTTAATGTGCATATCTCCTAAACCGCTAATGCAATAATAACAAAATTCACTGGAAGCAAATGCTTTTAGAACCTCTACCTACAGTGGGATAATGGGGGAAATCGGGTGGCAACTCCCCTCCTCCCCCATATAACGGTACTGTTAAAAACTACTAAAAGCGCGATAAATCAAGCACTAAACACGCCAGAAACATTAAATTTTATCTGTGGGATAGTATGAGGTGACTTTATAGGAACCGCGTTGAAATTTAGACAGTGGGCGTGGCACAGCCCACTTTTAGGTGAAAACCCATATCTTGAGATCTGCTTAACCGATTTCAACCAAATTCGGTGCATAACGTTCTTTTCATATTTCTATGTCATAGTGCGAAAATGGGCGAAATCGAAATCGGACTATACCACGCCTACTTCCCATATAACACCATTTTAAATTCCATCTGATTCTTTCACTTTCCACTATGCAAATCAGGCAACAATGACTGTTCGGGATAAAACTTTGCGTGAATAATGCGATCTAAATCGAACCGAAACTGTTCAAGCCCCTAAGTACTAAATATGTGGACCCCAGTGCCTATAGTTGACTTTCTACCGAAAATATCAGTCAATCCACAAAGAAATCTCAAACGAGTATACTATTTGACTTTGCGAGAGTATAAAATGTTCGGTTACATCCGAACATAGCGCTTCCTTACTTGTTTAATATAAAATTATGTCAACACCTGAAGTCATTTTCCGGGCTTTGATCCTTGCAAGTTGCGAGAGTACAAAATGTTTTGTTACACCCGAACTTAGAACTTTCTTACTTGTTATTTTAGTTTCTCATTTCATTAAGATGGGAACAATTCATTTTATAACGCTTTTATTAACTTCACTTGTATGTTTGTATGCATATATGTATGTATGTTTGTAAGTTTGTATTTAAGTAGCTCTTTTCAGTGGCACTGAAACTGAATGACACTGACAAAAGAATCATTAGTCTAATAGGCACTGCAAAAAACAAAAAAAAAATTACCTTTAAATTATGCAGCTAAAAGCTTCAACTATCCATTCATGTCATTTCAATAACAAATTTACTCAAACACAGCCTTAAAGAAAGTGAAAACACTACGTATGGGTGATTAACTTCAATTCAAATACTAAAAATCATGCTTTCAAAGTACAATATATCAGACTGAAAAGTGGAAATTAAATATAGTTAAAAAAACTAAAAATACGCGCTTTTAAGGCCTTTCAAAGTAAAAAGTGAAAAATAATTCTTAATATAAACTGATAATAATTTTGACCGAAAAATACTTGTGAGAAAAGCGTGGCATGCTTTGTGCCATATTTTTCGTATATCGAGAACAAATCAGTTTATACCTATAAAGTAATTTTTTTCACTTTTTAGTTTGAAGGGCTTTAAAAGAGTGTTTTTTAGTTTTTTTAAACTATATATATTTTATTAACATTGAATTTGCACCATTTTATATTCTTGAAAAATGTATCCCATATGATTTTCTGTTATAACAAGTAAGGAAGGGCAAAGTTCGTGTAAGTGTAACCGAACATTTTATTCTCTAGCAACTTGCATGGATTAAAGCCGGGAAAATATCTTCAAGTATTGACAATATTAAAAAACCAATATCATTTATATTGTGCGCTAAATCAATAATATAATTTTATAACTTTTAAGAAAACGTTTCCAATTAATTGTATTAATATAATATATCACATAATTTGACCAAAATTATTACATACGGTAAATACGGTATATGGGGGGCAGAGAAATGATTAATTAATTTTTGACATTGTTAAGGTATGTATATCTGAGAACTTCTTTTCAATCAATTTTATAAATATATAAATATAAATATATATATGGAGTCAAGTCAGCCGGGCGTTTCAAAATCATGAATATCAGATATATGGGAGACAAGGCAAGTTTTTACCCAATTTTAGGCACGCAGGTGCACCATTGTTTTAAAAATACGCACCCTCAATTTTATGTAGATAACTCACATATTGGCCAATATATGCGGTCTAAAGTCAACTGGAAGTTGGAAAATATTTATATTAATGACTAAAAATCAGACATACGCACTGCGGTCCACATATTCGGTATGTGGGAACTTGAACAGTTATGGTCCGACTTTGACCTTTTTAAGACCGAGATGAGATACCTCAGTATACTATTTGTGCATAGTTTAATCCGAATATATTCATTAGTGCTTGATTTGTATACTGAAAAGTGAATGAATAAGATGGAATTTAAAACTGTGTTATATGGGAAGTGGCCGTGGTTGTAGTCTGATTTCGCCCAATTCCTCTGCAACCTGCTGGTGTCCCTTACTACTTCAATTCTCTATATCAAATTACAGTTTTATATCTTCATTTAGTGCGTAGTTATAGAATTTTATAGGTTTTCGGTTAATGGCGTTTTGGGCGCGTGGTAATGGTTCGATTATGCCCATCTACGAACTCGTCCTCACTTTTTTCCAAGGAATACGTATACCAGGTTTTATTAGGATATCTCACTTTTTACTCAAGTTACAGCTCGCACAGACAGACGGACAGACAGTCAGTCGGATTTCAACTCGCTCGTCATCCTGATCATTTATATACATACTTGTACATATATATAACCCTATATCTGACTCTATTATTTTTAGGTGCTCCAAACAACCATTGGGTGAACAAAACTATAATACTCTGTAGTAAAATGTTGGAAGAGTATAAAAGCACTTATTATACAAAAGATTAACAGTTTAAGTAAACATATAATAAAAATATAATTTATAATATTTAAATTATTTCAGATAAGCAAAGGATTAAATTATTTTATACTCACCAACCACATTCAGATATCCAAATTGCGTCTTCGCCGTTACGGTGTTTATTTGACACATATAACGTCCTTTGTCCTCTTCATGTACATTGTTTATATGTAGATACCAAGTACGATGTCGATCATGTTTGTCATGTGTTACGCTGATGCGCGGATTGCGCGTAATCACGTGATTATGCACCGTTAATATTGCAGATTGTTCAAAATGCATCCATGCAACCTAAATCAAAATTAATGAAAATTAACTTTAGATTTCCCTAAAATTGAACAGCTAACATTTAATGTAATTTCATGATCATATTTCAGTAAAGCTACGAAACCGTTGGTAAGGATGTTTGGATAATAGATTTAGAATGCAAAGTGACCTTTTGCGCTTAGCCAAGGGCAAGTAAAATATTTTTTTTACTCAACACTGTAACGAAAAGCACCTAAATCGCCTGGAGGTTGTTAACCACGTCTACTATTTCAAAGGGTAAAGCGAATGGTTCACACTCACTTTTTTTTATTCTCGGGCGCTAATGAATTTCGTCTTAGTCTAATGTGATAAAGGATATAACTTTTGTGTAAAAACCATAAATATTCAAAAATTTAATAGTTCATAATTTATGACAGGATAAGAATTTGCATGCTACAACACTTGAGGATAGCTATGCGATTCGGTTTATGATTTTGGTGTATTTGTAGTTAAATTTTTTATGTAAAACGGATAGCCTTTAAAAAGCAGTGAAGTTAAATTCTTCCAAAAAGAATCTAACAAAGGTGCTTATTAATAAAACAAATTTTATAATTAAGAAGTTTTCCAGGTTAGGCGTTTGCTAATACTAGGTATACATTAAGAAATAACATTTATTTTATTTGTGTAAGTGTTCACAGTAAATGGCCCTCTAAAGAATGTTCAGATTTGTCTAAGTCAAAGTTTTGATATTTTTACTAAAATTATTAAAAAATAATATGTTGCAGTATAGTATGTTAATTTCAAGTGCACACTGCTATTTCGTAGCGACTGTGTTCGATACAATTATCCAATCAAGATTCGAAAATATATTTATAAAACTGGTTGCCCCTCTGCAGAAAATGACCAACCTACGAATCTACGAGTATCACACAGTTAGTATCACAGTTTTCCCGTTATTTTGTGACTATTGACGAAACATGGGTCCTCTGGTTCACAACAGAGACCAAGAAACAGTCGAAACAGTAAAGAGTTGGCTAAAGCTGTTCTTTCGGCAGGAAAGAACAAGCATATGGAGACTCACTAAGTGTGACCTACATCGACTTCCTGGAGAATGTCAAAACGGTTACAAGGCTATACTATACCGAATTATTGGAACGAATCGAAACGATTTGAGCGACAAGGAGCCTATATTATATATATATACATTTCGTTTTTTACAGGCTATGTATGTATGTATGATTGATTGAACTCATTAAAGCGAAATTCTTAAGTGCTGAACACATAGACGACGGCAAGCGACAGGCAGCATCTGTCAAAATTTAAAATACACACGTACTTATAAGCACAGTTATTTAGACAGCAGCACGACTTCACGGCAGCGGCCTTGTAATTGTCGCTGTAGCTTAATTAAAATTAAATTATATCATTTGATAATTTAAAACAAATAAATCGATTTATTTACTTTTTTTGCACAAAAAATTTCACTTTGAACAAACCATTTAAATTTAATTGGAGTATAAGGTTTTAGTAGGGCAACATCGAAATTGTGTACATCAGCTGTTTGATATGTCGCTGCCGTCTTCAAAATGTTAAAGAAGCTGGCTTGAAGACGACATTTGCCGACCAGAAAATTTCGCTGTCGTGCAGTCGAGTCGTGCCCTTGGTTTTTTTTGTTCAGAGCATAACAGACCAAATGTTGCAGAGAACTCAATTTTAAACTGTTTTTTTAATATAAATATTTTTCTTCTTGAACTCATGCTTTGAGCTAGTTACATACGATATGTAGTAGCATTGAATGCTTCGGCACCCTACATACTATATGACTTAATTCTTGTCATTACTTTTTCCTCGTACACGAATTACTTCGATGAACCACATTTTTGTCGTTTAAGTGTTATTAGTATTGCTATTCAGTGCTAATACACCCAAACACGTACGTGAAGTAGTTAAGCAATAATAAAACCACAAAGGCACGTTTTTGGTTTTTTGCTCTTAGAACCAATCGTTCATTCTGTGCTTTTTTCATCTTCCACTTCTACATCCTTAGCATAATTGTTTCCACCCAAACAACAAATACACATGCCCATACATATAGTATATATCGTATGTAGATACTATATACCATGTGGTATTTATCAGTCGGAGGTATACAAAAATTATGAAAAAAGTACGCTAAAAGTACTAAAACTCCTATGAGCTGGATCAAAAGACCCTTACATGTCGACAAGGCGCTTTGTGCCTACGATGAACTTCTTGAGACGGCCAATATCTGTTTCGGCCAAATCTTCTGGTCCGCCGAAAAGTGTGATGTTTCAGTCTCAGCCTAGCAAAAGCCGGACAGTGGAGGAGAAAGCGCCGGATGTTTCCATCTCACCCTTCTTTACACAGCTTTGACAACTAGTATCGGGTAGTATTCTAAGCCGTACATCATGAGTTCCCATTGGATAGTGCCCAGTGAGAACTCCTACCATACCGATCCACTCTCGGCCAGAAGGATCTCGCAGTCGCGCAGGAGTTGGTCTTCGACCAGTGTCTGCTGAGTGCATGCGAGGTCCATTGGTCCAGAGCCAGAACGCAAGATGTTAGTGGAGATCCAATTCGATCCCATTCCGATGTGAGCGAGGCAATGGTGCCCCCCTTTGGCTAGCTCATCGCCTTTGCAGTTGCCAGCGATTCTGCTGTGACCAGGCACCCAAACGACTTTGATATTGAAGTAGCCTGATGCTAATTCTAGTGGAGACAGACACTCCTTGACTAGCTTTGATTGCACGGTTCGCGCACTCAGGGCTAGTATTGCCGCCCTGCTATCGGAGTGAACGCTTACCTTTCTTAACGAAGCTGTACTTCGTAGGAGTACTTACACCGCCACCTTGAAAGCAGACACTTCCGCCTGAAAAACACTACAGTGGTCCGGTAGCCTGAAGCTAAGATTGACGGGAGCTCTTTACAGAAAACCCCCTCCAACTTTCCCTCCTAACTTCGACCCATCCGCGAAAAAGCTCAGCGCACCTCTTCTCCAGCGGCTTTTTCCCATTAACATCTCCCTCGTTGGGATATGAGCAGAGAAAAAGCCACTTCGATTGGCCGCTGTGAAGCAGTGATCCAAATTTTCAGGATTGCAGTTGAAGAAGGAGAGAATTACGGCGTGTCCTTGTTCGGGCCTATTCAAAAACCCAGCTTCCCTGAGCCTTAGTACACACTTCCCAGCAATGCACCTGTCGGCAATGGCACGTTTGGGTTCTTATACCTCCTAGTAAATAAAACCATTTCGGTTTTACTTGGGTTGACGGCTAGGCCGCTTTTATTCGCCCAGTTAGATAACACGTTTAGGTACCCTTCAGTAAGCTCGGTAAGACGGTATTTAAGAATTTTCCCATAACCATGGGACATATGTACATACATATTATGTACGTATATGTATATTTATATCTATTTATAATATTTAAAAGAAAGTCGTGTTAGTTATACTATTTATAACTTAAGAACGGCTGAACCGATGTTGAGAAAAAGTTCAATCATAATTCTTACAAAGAACGCAAAACACTGCAGGATTTAAACGACAACGATGAACTTTTTGGTGATGCTGTCTTACTACTGTCTGGTGGTTTTAAACATTCGTTCTTATCGAAAGTGTTGAAACACTTCAATTGACCAATTTGAAAAAATTTATTCACTAACATAAATATGATCTATCGTATCTATTGTATATTCAAAACAACTGCTAGATATTAGGTATGGTAAAATAGAACCGCAACCAAATTCGCAATGCATTAAATTTCCTAACATTTCTGCACTGCTGTTCACGAAAAATATTTGATTAATTAAGGGTATATTTCTGGAAATAAAAATTAATTAGTTGGATCATTAGTGGCGCAATATTAAGTCTAAATTAGCGGCTACAAATGAAGATGTTGACAAAATTAATTTCCAGATAAAACAGTTGTTGCCAGGTGATCTGAAGTATTGTTGTTGATTAAAATAAAAATAAAAATTTTTAAAATGTGTTTCTAAATTCTCTAGATACACCGGGAACGCCATCACATAGGCTTCGGTTGAAATTTGGTTCACCTATTATTCTTCTTAATTTGAATCTATCTCAATTATCAACGGTACACGCTTGGTAATCAAAAATATCACAGGAAATATTATAGATGCAACCATTTTGACTGGATTTTATGAAGAAATGGTTCCGTTACCACTTATTGCAGCGATACTGTCAGAATGTACAATTCCGTTAAGAAGGCTACGGTTCCCCATTGTAATGTGGCAAAACCAATTTGGTTCACCTATTATTCTTCTTAATTTGAATCTATCTCAATTATCAACGGTACACGCTTGGTAATCAAAATATCAAAGGAAATATTATAGATGCAACCATTTTGACTGGATTTTATGAAATAGGTTCCGTTACCACTTATTGCAGCGATACTGTCGAATGTACAATTCCGTTAAGAAGGCTACGGTTCCCATTGTAATGTGGCAAAACCATCAATTTATTTGAGCTGCAAGATATTATTCACGAATAGAGCTGAATTAAATTAAATTTGAAAATGTTTAAAATTAAAACTACAAATGTTATTTAAGTAAGGAAGTTCGGGTGTAACCGAACATTTTATACTCTCAAACGGGATCAAGAAAAGTCCTAGTAAGTACTATGTATGTTGAATAATATTAAAGGAATATTTATCCGATTCAACCCATATTTGACACAAAACATACTACTGTTTATCAAAGTTTCATTTATTTATTTTTATTATATGAATTTCAATTATATATTTTACATTAACCGATATTTTCGGTAAAAATCAACTATAGGCACTGGGCCCACATGTTCAGTACCTAGGGGCTTCAACAGTTTTAATTCGATTGAACTATTTTGGTCAAAGTGTCATACCTTAAAAGCATTACTTACAAAGTTTTATCCAATTACAATCATTGTTGCTTGATTTGCATAGTGGAAAGTGAAAGAATCAGATGAATTTAAATGGTATTATATGGGAAAAGGTGGTCGGTTAAAGATCCCAATATATTAGTTTTCACCTAAA